CCAACCCAAACCATTCCATGATCATCAGATATCATATAAACTGGGGGGGGGAGCCAAGCTGTAAGGGGGTAGGACCTCACACCCCCCATCTGGGTGAGGAGGAGACCTCCACAAGGATGCTGGGGCTCTCTGCCTTCTCCCCCACCCTGTGTCAAGAGGTCCAGCTCCTCTCCTTCCCCTGGAGACACCAAGGATCACATCCTGCATGGCCACACGTATGGGGGGGACTCAGCACCCCCTTCCTGATGGAGACAGGAGCATCCCTGGGGGCCACCCCCCGTGTCACCCCCAGAACCCTCCCCACAGCCAGCAGACACCCAGGGAAATGGGCAGATGTGCTTTATTAGGGGGGAGACAGAGGTTGGGGAACAGGGGGGGCCAGCCCCACCCCAGCCCCACCACCATTCCCACCCCAGAACCCCTTGGGAACAGGGGCAGAAGCTTCCATCTCCCCCCCCAGCAGCCAGTTGGGGGGTCTGCTCTCCCCCCCCAGAAAGGACAGGCACAGCCTCACCATCCCCTCCCCGAGTCCCCCACAGTGAGGCAGGGGAGAGGTTTCTCCTCCAAGGATCAGCAGGATGGTGACCACCATCACCACCAGCCCCTCCTGAGGAGGGAAGGAGACATTGTCCATGGAAATAAAGTAGAAGGCAGCGTGGTGGGGTGGTGGGGACCTCAGCTCTCATCGTTGATGGCCGTGCTCTCCCCACGCAACAACCCCTCCCTCTCGGCTGTCCCACCGCTCTCCTCCACGCGCCGGGGCAGACGGGCAAGCAGGGGTCTGTGGAGACCATTATAAAGAGCAGCACCCACCAGTAGAACCCCAAAACCTAAGATCTCCAACCCATGGAAGGTCTCCCAGCCCACGGCCAAGCTGACAGCCCAGATGATGAGGGTACGGAGACTGTCCAGCACCATGCGGGTGGTGGCACTGATCTCCTTGGTGACACTGATGCCAGCAAAGTTGAAGAAGGCAATGCTGCTGATGTTACCCAGCAGGGCCAGGGCGATGAGGGGTTGGTGGCCAATCTGGCAGAAGGCATCTAAGGCATCTTCCAAGGTCTGCCGAGGGTTCCCGCTGAAGCTGCCCGCCGGGATGTAGTACATGGGCACCAGCAGCAGGGCCAGGATGATGAAACCGAAGAAACCTGGGTGTGAGTGGGTGACAAATGGGTCACCCACTCCAAGGACCACCCATCACCTAACCCTCCCTTGCTCCATGGAATCCAAACCCTCACAGCAGCCCCACCTCTCATCCCAGAATTGCCCTGGGGCTCGGGGAACTGCTGGTGGGTCTGGCTGGAGAAATCCAACCTCTGGCATCTTGGGGAAGGGGATTTTCCCCTCAAAAGAATCACAGAATCAAAGGGGGTTGGAAGGGACCTCAGGAGATCATCTAGTATTCCTAGTAAAAATCAGAGTGATGGATTGTGCTGTCAGAGACTGGAGATACAGAAAATATATTTAGATCAAGGACTTCAGCCTTTCAAGTGCACAGGAGATGAAAGCTAGCAGAAGCAAAAGTTTGCTCTATGA